GGGTCCGGGGCATCCCCGGGATGCGGTGCTGGAGCATCCCCGGGATGCGGTGCTGGAGCATCCCCGGGATGCGGGGTCCGGGGCATCCCCGGGATGCGGTGCTGGAGCATCCCCGGGATGCGGGGCCGGAGCATCCCCGGGATGCGGTGCTGGAGCATCCCCGGGATGCGGGGTCCGGAGCATCCCCGGGATGCGGGGTCCGGGGTATCCCCGGGCTGGGCTCGCAGGGGATGCGGGTGGGATGCGGGGAGCACATACCAGAGCCCTCCTCGGTGCTGGATCTGGGGGTGGCACAGTGCGTTTGTCCCCTCCGAGCTTTGGGTGCTGCGCGTGACTCGGTGTTAGAGGAAATATGCCTCTGACTTGTACTTTTCAGGACAAAATATCTCCTTTAGTTGCATTTCTGGGGACAAACATTGCTCTTGCTTGTATTTTTAGGGGGAACCACTTCCTTTAGTTGTGTCTTTAGAGAAAACCGTCTCCTTTTGTTGCAATTTGAGGGGGAAAAAATCTCCATTGGTTTCATTATTTTCTTTATTTTTTTTTTAAAAACCCTAAACCCCACAAAAACCCCCATCCTTTAGTTGTATTTTTATGGAAAACATCTTTAGTTGTATTCCTAGGAAAAACATCTCCCCCAGTTAAATTTTTAGGGAGAACTGTCTCTGTCAGTTGTATTTTTGGGGGAAACATCTCCCTTGGCTGTATATTCTAGGGGAAAATAATCTCCTTTAGCTGGACTTTTAGGGAAAAATGTGCCCTTTTGTTGCATTTTTAGGGAAAAAAAATCTCACTTTGTTGCATTTTTTCAGGGAAAAACATGTCCCTTGGTTGAATTTTAAGGGGAAAACATTTCCATTGGTTGCATTTCTAGGGCAAACCAACTCCCTTCATTGCGTTTTTAAGGGAAAACATGTCCTTTATGTAGGAAGCTTAGAAAGTAGGGATTTGTGAGTCAAGCAGAGCAGGAGAGACCGGCTCACCACCTACAGGGATGGGGAGGGAGGGAGTAGGTGTTCAGTCATCCTAAAATCACAGAACATCCTGAGCTGGAAGGGATCATTGAGTCCAACCCCTGCACAAACACCCCCAAAATCCCACACTGTCCTTGAGAGCGTTGTCCAAACTCTCTTGGAGCTCTGGCAGCCTCAGCTCACTGCTGCTGCCACATCCTGCTCCTGTTCTCCGTGTGCTGGGCACGGATGGATGCTGCCAGGAGGATTTGGAGTCTTGCACCATTCCCTGTGACTTTTGGGCCAGTGACTTCTGCCTGCAGGGAGCAGCAGAGGGGTCAGAGTGGGTAGGTGAGCACACCTCTCCTCACCTGCCCTCCTGGGATCTGCCCCCTGTGCCGACCCACAGTGTGCTGGGTTAATGTGGAACCTGCTGATCCTGCTTCATACCCCTGGAAAAAGCAGCCAGGTTAAAATGTTCCTTCACTGCAAGGGCTGCTGTGTTTGGTTTGGCCAGAGTCCCTTCTGCTGCTTTTCCCTTCCTTTGCCCTGGGGGATTGCTAGTGGCACAACACAGCCAAGGGCAGCAGGTAGTTGGGGAAAAATTCTCAAGATTCCTCAAAATGAGGCAAATTGTTGCTTTTGCTCAGGAATTTTGGGAAAGCTGCTGCTGGTTTCTCTTGGCAATGCTGGCCCAACAGCCGCTGCCTCCAACAAGTGCTGGTGCTCTCAGGGAGGTTTCAGCAGCTTCACTCCTCACAATCCCCTCCTGAACAAGATGAAATCCTTCTGAAATCCATCCAAAGTCAGCCATGGGAGTGCACCCAGTGTGTCCTTGAGAGCCTCTCCCTGTCCCACAGGAAAACCCTTTCTCTGAGAGAACCTTTGAGGTGGCTGTCCTTTATCCCTGCCTCCCTTTCAGGGGTGCAGATAAAGGCTGACCGCCCCTCTGGCCTTGCAGAGCCAATATCCCGTTATATGAGGTTTTCCTTGGGAATGGGTCACCCTCCCTGTGCTGAAATTCTTCCTGGTAGCAACAGGGCAAGTGGTTGTGGGACAACAAAAGAGGTTTGTGCCTCCAGGGGAGAAATAAGAATGCAAATATCTTTGGCATGAAAAAAAAAACCCAAAAAATTTGCTCTTTGGTATTTCTTGTCAGTACTTTGCATCTGTCTCTGCCTCACCTTCCCATTCCTTTCCTTTGGGCTTTCCAAGAGCAATAAGGCTTTGGGGAGAGATGGGGGCTGTAGGGGCCCTGTGGGGGGACAGGGATGGTGCCTGCAGCCTCTCCAACCCAGAGCTTCCCAGCCCCACTGTAAAACCCTTTTTTCTCCATATTGCTTGCCCACTTTGGGGAGATTTCCCTGCTGCTTGGCTTGGCTGTGCCTCGCTGGGATCCTTTTCCCTGGCACATCCCTTGCGGGTCCGTCCCGTGCCTGGCAGCGCTTGCTCCGGGACGTGCCTCCTCATCATCCCGGGAACTCCAGCAGCCCGGGAGCATGGCTGGTGTTGGAGGGCTCTGTAATCCACAGGGGAGCAGAGCAAGTCATGTCTGTGGGCATAAATCAGGCAGGAGCTGGAAAACAGGGCGGGCTGGGAAGAGCAGGGGAGCGCGGGCCCCTGCGCCGAGCCGCCGGATGGCTCAGCCACTTCCAGTTCATTTATTCTGCTGGGGTTTGCCCAGCCCTGCTCGGCATGTGAAATGTTTTCTCTGAAAGACCCAGCAGTGAGATGGGTGAAAAACATTCTCCTGTCCCAGGAGCTGGCAGAAATCCTGGTAAATCTGCAGAAGTATGTTTTTGTCGGTGCTGCTTATTCTGTGAGTGGAACTAGTATAAACTATTCCAGTAGAAAACCTTTTTCCTGGAATAAAGTCCTGACTGTGTTCGGAGCATTGTCAGGACGGTTGTGCTGGGAATGGAGCTTTGCTGGTAAACATGTCAGCTCTGGGGAGGCACGATGGGGCACACACAGAGCTCCTGCCCCTCTGCCCCACGGGCACACTCCTCACCAGGTGCCTGCTCAAATCAAAATCCCTTCAATTTCAAATTGCCAACAAAACACAGATGCACTTTTCTGCCCTCTGAAAGCCCATCTGCCCTGCCTTCCATCCCCTCCAGGCTGTGGCTGGACATCCCCCAACGGGGTCAGCACCAAGAGCCTCACTTCTGCTTGCCTGCCTCAGTTTCCCTGACCCCAGCTGGCACAAGGGGTGACACTGGGAGCTCCTGGAGCGGCACAGCAGGTAACCACTCCGGTTTGAATTTTCACCCTTTGCTGTGCCCTTTCCTCCCCTCTCCTCCTGGCCAGGACGAGGATCCTGGTGGGATTTCCAGCAGGGCACTGGGTGGGTTTGGGTTTTTTGTCCCAGATCAGAGCTGGGACACCCCGGGAGGGTTGTGAGCCCCGGGAGCTGGCGAGGGGTAGCTCGGTGCAGCTGGGTGTGCTTCAAAGGGCGGCAGGTTTTTCTGGGCTCCAGCCACTGCTTTGCTCTCCAGGCAGGCGTGAAATGGGAAAGAATGTGAAAAATGTGAAAATGATCATGCTGGCCCTAAGATTTGTAAACTTTCTGGTCGATGTGTGATAAATACACGGCAGATTCTGCCAGCACTGTGTGGGTGACCCCTCTGTGGTGGCACTGGGATGTGGGTGACATCCCAGAGAGGCATCTCCCCTCCTCGACAGCGGGGCCAGCTCGGGGGTGTCTTGCTTGGAGAGGCTTTGGGGCTTCTCTGAACTGGTTTATCTGGTTTGGACTTCTCCAGGTTCCTGTGAGCCGCCTTGCCTGCCTTGCAAAAGGCAGGTTCTTTATTTGTTCAGTCCTCCCCGGTGCAAGGTGCGTGCTGTGACGCCCAGGTGTGCCGTGTCCAGCGGAGGAGCACGCTGCCAAGGCCCTGGATGCTGGGACTGATTCCTCCCAGGCAGCTGATGCAGCTGCAGCCACCTGTGCAGCATTTCCTGCTTGGCACAAGGCGAGGTGCCGCGATGTTCCTGCCTTAGGCAGCCTGGGGAATCTCTCCTGGGTCGTTTTGATTTGTGCAAAAATAGCTGAAAGTTGCTCAGCTCTGGGTGGGTCTGGCTGCAGCAAAGCTGGAGGGGAACAGAGGTGCTGCAGGTCCTGGTGCAGGGTGAAGAGGGGCTGGGATTTATCCCAGGGAGGCTCCCACCTCCTCCAGGGGAATGTGCACAGCCCGGACCCACCCGGGAATTTGAGCTGAAAAGGGTCAGAGAGGGCTCAGAGTGCAGAGAAGCTGATGCCAAGGGATGGCCTCACACTCATGGATGTGGTCTGGATGTGGAACATCCACAGGCCGTGTTCTGCCTCGCCTTCAAACGGCCTCCGAGCATCAGGGATCAAGGTTTTGTCTGATGCTAATGCATGAATTAGAGCCCTGGAAGACTTTCCCTGTAATTTAGGGAGGAGAGAGTGTCCTTTGAAAATTGTTTGGATTGTTTTTGTTAGCTGTGTCATCCTGGCGCCCCTCCCCGAAGTAAATGGAAGGGACAGAGGTTTGTGGGTTCGGCTGCTTTGAGGTGTGCTGGGTTTTTCCCTGTGGCTGCAGGTGCAGCTGGGGGGCCCTGGGGCGCTCTGTGGGAGCCCTCAGGAGCGGGACTGGGTCTGGGATGGACTGGGAGGATGTTTGGAGAGGCTGGGATTTGGCACAGAGGCCACACAGCCTGGGAGGGGCCGGGAGCTGCTGGATGCCAGCGGAGGTGCCCGGGGGCAGGATTAGGTGCTGTGTCTACCCAGGGAGCCTGAACACCACCTGCCTGAGGAGCTCAGCTCAACTTCAGTGCTTTATTTTCCCCCAAACCCCAATTCTAGCAGGGGGTGGTATCCTGTTCCATTGTGGAGAGTCCCAGACAGGGGGCTGGGATGAGGCTGGGATGGAGATGGGATGGAGATGGAATGGAGATGGGATGGAGATGGAATGGAGATGGGATGGAGATGGGATGGGCTGAGGTCTCCCTGAGCACTGTGAAGTTGGTGACTCAGTTCTGTGCTGTCCTTGGCCCAGCTGGGCTCACCTCTGAGCAGGGGGTGTTGGACTCAAGCAGAGCTGCTCCTTTCAAGTCCCCAGCCATGAAGAAATCCAAGGAAATTGCAAAGGAATTTTTGTTTTGAAAGTAAAGGCAACTTGGCTGCCATCAAACATGTCTAGAGACCTGATCTTGATTGTTGGAGCTGTGGGGATGCAGGAGGGTGCAGGACAGGACCTGAGCTCCGGTGGGTTTTGTTGGGGCAGGGTTGAGCAGCCTCTCCCACAGCTGAGCCCCCCACCCAGCACATCTCACCCCCATTAGCTGATGTACCGAGAGCCTCCAGGCGTTATAAATTAACACTCTGGGCTATGAATTATGAATGGAGCCACATCTCTGATCGCTGCAATGCTCTGCTGACAGCCCAGGAGCTGCTGATCCAACTGACAGCCCAAAGCTTTTAAAGATGTGAACAGCAAAAGCTGGGAATAATTTACTTTGCAAGCTACAAACCGCTTGGCCTACAGATGGGGCTCATCGTATTCCCTCTCCTGCCTGCTCCTGTCCTGTTCTTCTCTTTTGTTTGCCAGCATTGCCTTCTCTACTCTCCCTCTCTGTCTTAATGGATGTTGCCCTGTGTTGACCATCCCTTGGGAGCTGCCACGTTCCTGCTCCAGGGTTGCTGGTTCCAGCTGGGGACAGCTGGGGACAGCTGGGTCCTGGCCATCCCCAACCCAGCCTCAGATCCCCACAGCCAGTGCAGAGCTCCTGGTGCAGGACCCAGAGGGATTTTGGCAGATCTGCAGCTTCATCCTCCTGTGGCCATAACTTTGTACTCAAGACATCGTATTCCACAGCTCCATCTGCTCCGTGGAGCTCTGCCACAGCTCTGTCTTTGCCACCGCTATTTGGAGGGTTTGTCCTTGAACCTTTCCATCTCTGGAAGCCAAATCCTGCCCTAAACTGCTGGATGTGCTTAATCCTGGGTATTCCTGGGGTTTTTTGCCCTCTGGCTTTGTATGGATTGCTGTCTCCTGACCTTTGGGGCAGCTCCCTCTGGCAGCCGGGCTGTGCTCCCTGCTCTGGCAGCGGTGGGGCAGAGGGAGCAGAACTAAATTTAGACAATGAGCTTCAGACACTTGTCAATTGTCATAAACGAAGGCAGGGCCCTGTATGTCCCCCTCGTGGGGCTGTGCCCCCTGCAGCACTCGGGAGAAAGCCCTTAGATAGCAGGAGGGAGCCCAGGATGGCAGGAGACGGGAAACCAGCCCAGCCTGAGCAGTGGGTGCAGGACAGGGGCACTCCGTGTTCCCAGTCCTTTCCAGGTGAGCCATTGTCAACCAGGCAGCAGAACAACTTCAAAGGGAAAGTGTCTGGAGAAGGTGTTTGTTATACCCCAGTGTCTGGAGAAGGTGTTTGTTATACCCCCGTGTCTGGAGAAGGTGTTTGTTATACCCCAGTGTCTGGAGAAGGTGTTTGTTATACCCCAGTGTCTGGAGAAGGTGTTTGTTATACCCCAGTGTCTGGAGAAGGTGTTTTGCCCCGGGCTGGGGTGCAGAGGCACTCCCCAGGTCCTGACTGTTTTGTTTCCCTTGCACAGGGGATGCTGTAAGGATGGACTGACAGAGCCCCAGCAGTTTCTTCTCCACCCAAAGGCTGAGGGGCTCAGCCTGCAGGGAAGGAGCCGTTTTTGGACGCAAACATCCCTCTGGCTGCGGTGAGGGGAGAGGAGCTGCCGCGGCGGCGGATCGAACCCGCTCCCGGAGGGGAAAATACCGCTTCGGTTTGGTGTCTAATTAGATATTTACCAGGAAGGAAGGAAAGATATAAATAGGGTGACAGTGACTTCAAAGGGTGTTTTTTGACTTCTAAGAATAACACCTTTGCTGGCGCCGATTTCGGGAATATCGGCTGTGCCTGGGTGTGAAAGACGGAGGAGGTGTCGCAGCTCGGTCGGCAGCCAAGGGAGCAAACCCAGACCCCAGCCCCCGTCCGGCCCCACGGGACCAGCTGAGGAAGGGACAGAGCCTGTGGAAAGCTCAGCTGCATCCGCAGGGACACAGCAGGGGGAGTTTGGGGAACACCGCCGGTGCTGCAACGCGGGCAGGAGGGGACGTGTGGCACCATGGGGACCCCATCCCTATCCCCATGGGCGGTGCTGGCGCTCACCCTGGCTCTGGTGGGACTCTGGGCTCCCTGTGTGGTGAGCAGGCAGCCCAACTTCATCGTCATCCTGGCTGATGATGTGGGCTGGGGGGATCTGGGAGCCAACTGGGCGGAGACGAAGGAGACCCCGCATTTGGATCAGTTGGCTGCCGAAGGAACAAGGTAATGTCTGACCCCCTTCCCTGCCCTCACCCAGCATCCCGGACACTCTATCCTGCAGCACAGGGCAATTCAGCCCTGAGGGACTGGCAGGTGAAGGGATTTCCTTGGTGTGGGTTTGGGTGCATGGGGAGGGCAGCCAAAGCCTGGCACTTCGGGGTGCAGGTCCATCTGTCCCTGCTGGAACCTGCATCTCCCACTCCCCGCCCTCATCCCCAGAGCAAAAGGGGCAGGGAGGGGCAGTGTTAGAGCGCACGGGGTCTCGTGAGTTGAAGGCTCCTTTCATTCTGCAGGTTCGTGGATTTCCACTCCGCTGCATCCACGTGCTCCCCGTCCCGCGCCTCGCTGCTCACGGGGCGCCTGGGGGTGCGCAACGGGGTCACCCACAACTTCGCCATCAGCTCGCTCGGGGGCCTCCCCCTCAACGAGACCACCCTGGCCGAGGTCCTGCGGGAGGCTGGCTACAGCACCGGGGCTATAGGTAATGCCCAGAGTGCCAGGGGCAGCCGGGGGAGCGGCAGGGGGTGACAAAGGTTCCCTTGCAGAGGAAGAGCTCGGGCGAAACGCTGGCAGTGAAAGGAAAATCTAAAGGATCACGTGAGAGAGATTTCACACATCCCCCTTGGACTTTGCAATGCCAAGCTTAAAATCTTCCTTCTCAGCGGTGCTGCCGGAAATCCAGACTTCTCCATTTAATCTCTAATTGCTTTACCTCTCGGGGAATGTGCTGGGTGTTCCTTGGCAAACAGGGCTGTGCTCGGCGGCCCCGCCATCCTGCAGCCCACACCACGGGCAGTGCCGCTGCCCCGGGGCTTTGGGCACCCTCCTGTCACTGCTGGGTCCCCCTCAGCCTTGCACAAGCCTTTACACCTGCAGCTCCTGCTGTTGTACACGTCGTGCTGGCAGAAAATCCCTCTGTTTTCCCATCCCTCCCCAGTTTTTGCAGTTCTCCCTCCTGGATCGGCGCGTTCGGTGGGAGCAAGCGCGTGCTGGAGGTCAGAGGATGAAGCTGGCTGTTAGGGAGGGGTTGGGAAGCCGTCTGCTCAGAGCACAAGCACATGAAAGAGCCTTTTAAGGCTGGAAGCAGTCGCTTTGCACAGGCACGAGATACCTTATGCGTTTTTTCTGCGTTTTCTGCAAAAATAGACGGCATTCTGGAATCGCAGCCAGCACAAACAAGGAGCCTTTCTTGTAGCTTGATTAAAGCCCCCAGCACTGCGGGCACCTCGTGGGTGAGGGCTGCTGGTGGCCAGAGCTCTGTCACCTCTGAAATGATTTTCTGTGGCTTCCACGCAGGCAAGTGGCACCTGGGGCACCACGGCCGCCATCACCCCAACTCCCGCGGTAAGGGCGGTGCCAGCGGGGACAGGCTGCGGGCCCTGTGGCCACCTTGACCCCGCTGACCCCCTCGCTTGCCTCTCAGGCTTTGACTACTACTTTGGGATCCCCTACAGCCACGACATGGGCTGCACCGACAGCCCTGGCTACAACCTGCCGCCCTGCCCGCCCTGCGCGCGGCACGGCACCGCCGCCAGGTACGGGGCACGGGGTGTTTGCAGCGCTGTCCCCAACCCTGGGGGTGCCCTTGGCTGTGGCCACCTCCCCTCACGCTCTGTGCGTGTTTCCCCTGCGGGGTGTGGGCTGGGAGCACCCCGTGCCGTGGGGACACGGCACCGCTCCCTCTGTTCTCCCTTCCCCGCCTTTCTGGAAGCCAGGAGAACATCCAGGCTCGCTGCCTGCTCTGGTGACAAACCGGGGGTGGCTCTTCCCAGCAGGGTGGCGAGGAAGGACTGCTACACAGAGGTTGCCCTGCCTCTCTTCGAGAACATCACCATCGTGCAGCAGCCCGTGGAGCTGGGCAGCCTGGCCAGGCGCTACACGGAGGAGGCGGTGCGGTTCATCCAGAGGGCCAGGTCAGGCCACCCCCTGTCCCCTGTCTGTCCCCTCAGCTAGGAGAGCTCCTGGGTCACTGCAGGGCTCCTTTGCATCGTGCTGGTGCAATGCCAGGGGAGATGGGTGATGCCCCGTGGTTCAGATTTGGGGTGTCCGTGGCTTGGCTTCCTGCTGGAGGAGGCACTGAGGCTCTTCTGGTGTTTTCCAAAGGGGTCGTGTGTTTTTAAAACCATTTTTGAGCAAAGTCAAAGCCTGAGTGGGGCTGTGCCTCCTTCCTGGGGTGAAGTGCTGTCAAGGCTGGCGGGGATGGGAAGGAAACAAACGCTGCCATCGGTCTGTCCTTGCCCATCCCTGCGGATGAGGTGGCAATGGGGTGCTGGAGGTGCCTCCATGGGCGTGAAGTGCTGGCAGGGGCTGTAAACAGGCGCTGAATGGTGCTCAGGGTGGGACCAGAAGAGCACCCAGAGGTGTTTGAACACGCCCCGCGTGTGAGATTGGATCCATTTTGAGGATAAAGCGCTCCCAGGTTCAGGATGTGCCTCCCCCAGCCCCACGGCACAGGAGGTGCCCGGCTGTGTTTGTCCCCGAGGAGCGAAGGGGCTCGTCCGAATGACGCCCCCGAGCCCTGCTGACGGCTTGTGCAATTTTAATCCCTATTATTGGCGGATTACGAGCTGTGACTTTGCAAAACGCCTCCCTGCAGAGCGAGGAGAGGAAGCGCTGCCGGGCAGCCCTGTCTGAGCCCATCCCCTGCCTGCACCCCGGGACAAGCGCGCCGGGGAAGGCGGCTCCCTGCGGGAAGGTTTATGAAACAGAGGTGAATCAAGGGCTGGGCAGGGAGCAGCACATGGGGAAATGGCTCTTTATAAACCTGGGAGATGTTTTGTTGCGCAAGATCTGTAGTTAATCCCTTTGGGTGCCAAGGATTGGCCAGGTTTGGGATGCTGAGGGTGCCCAGGCTCTGGGCTGTGGGGCAGCAGAAGCCCCTTCTCCTGCCAAAGCCCCAAGGCTGCCAGGACGCTCTGTGGCTGTGAAACCAAGTGTGTAAGCTCCGGGTTAATAGGAAAAACCTTTAAACTCCCAGAAGTCTTTTGGGGTTATCTGTGTTCATGGAGAAAAGGATTAAGCAGGTGCCTGCTTTTTTTCCCCTTCTCTTTGATGGCTTATTCCAGTTTTCCCCTGCCTGACTCATTCATTACAGGGCAACAAAAGAACACCGGATTTGCCATCTCAGTGTTTTTTTAACCAGTCAAGGTTCAGCAGTTTGTGACAGTGAGACATGGCACTGCTCGAGCACAAGCGAGTGTGGGAGCAAAAGTCAGGGACTCCTGTCTCCAGTCATTGATTAAAGGTTTGCTCCATCTTCAGGACAGTTCTGAGCTGGGAGGGATGCTCAGCTGAGCATCACAGCCACGGCTCCCTCTGGAGTGGTGCTCCCAGGGGAAGCAGCTTGCCCTGCTCCAGGGGCTCTGCCATCCCATGGGAAGAGGTCTCACAGTGGCAGTTTGCAAGGGCACAGAGCTCTCCTACCCCCTCGCACCCCGCAGGGACGGGCAGGGTGCCGGGGGGACACAGCCCTTCCCGGGGGGATGCAGCAGCTCCGGGCAGGACGGGGTTTACTCATTTTCCAGCCCAGGTGGGTGACGGGCAGAGGAAGGAAGTGCCGAACCTCGCGTTGGAAGGGACAGAGAGGTTCCAGGAGGCAGCGATGGGGCCGGAGCCGGGCGCGTGTGCTGGCCGGGACATGTCCCCGGGATCCGGCCCCTCCCCACCCTGCCATCCCACCCTTCCCCTCCGAGCTCCCTGAGGAAGAGCAGGCCTGGCTGGAGCAGATAAATATAGCTGTAAACAAGCAAACAGGACGTGTCCCGGGATGATTTAGGAGCGAGCAGGCGGCGGGGCAGCGAACGTGCCGCGCTCCCTGTGCGGGGCCGGGTGGCACTGCCACCAGTGCCCGCTGTGCTGTGGGTGGCCAGATGTCACCCATCCTCTGCCCACAGCCCCAGCGAGCCGGGCACTTGCTGGGGAGGGGGACAAGAGGCCAAAATGGGCTCCTGTGAGAGGGGAGGGAAGTGCCTGGGGGCAGCAGCGTGGGGTGTTTGGCCACTGGAGATGGAGGAAGGGGCAAATCCATCCCAAATGGGGCACGGTTGACAACGGGAGGACAGTGGGGAGAGGTTCAAGCTGGAGCAGGGGAGAAGTGGCTCGGCTCGGC